CCTGATTTTGAAAATGCGAAAAACGCGGATTATAACATAACTAAATCTTACCGTCATCTGTATTTAAGAAAAATAATTTTACATTAAGGATTAATTTCCATGTCCAATATTATTTAAGTACAATTTTAAAATTGCGGTTAAATCAAAATCTGTTATTTATGCATTTATATCCAAGATTAAATTTTGCGCTAATCAGTTAGTTAGTAACCGATTAGTTGATTCCAATCACAAACAGGTCCATTTATTTTCAGCAGTGAACTGACGGTCTTAGATCCGTTATCAATACCCCATTCTGTGCTTCCAATTGCACTATTCATATCGACCTAAATTTTTCCTTTATAAAAGAAGTTAAACACATACACATAATTTTTTTTATTGCCTTAAGGATTATTTACGCTGAAAACAATGGTGCAATCGGATTTTAAATTAGTCAAAAAATGACCTAGTCGTTACATTCAGTATTCCATTCAAAATGAACGATATGTATGTACAGATATGTACGACTGCTTTAGTGATGGTGATGGTAGCAGTCGGTTGCGTAGGTGCGTCGAGCAGTCGAGTTGTACTCCTAGAAATTTCCTGATCGCCCCAGAGTAAACCACTAAAGTTTCTTCGTGTTTCTCGCAATATGAGGTTGCTGTTCCATCACCATGAAACCGGCAGCATAATTTCAACGAGGACCTCATTATAATATTTTACTGTATGTTCGCGAAAATCCGAAATATTGGAAGGGTTTTAGGTTTTTCAAAAAGGAAAATTAGAGGTATACTCCAGACTTACAATTTTAAGTCGTATAACTGTCATCTTGGGGGCCGCGGTAGCCGAGTGGTTAAGGCGTCAGACTCTCGGCTAGTAGATCCCGCGGTCGTGGGTTCGATCCCCACCGTCGCCTTTGGACTTTTTCTGACGCCTAAGGGAACCGGTGGCCGCAATTGAAAGAAACTGACACGGCACTTATCAATGGAAGAGCGGGATTGGATCTCGGCGACCCTGAATTTGGTCCCAACCCCCTTTAAAAATGAGTTTCTTCAATGGAAGAACACCTGTACAACGGTTCACATTTGTGTTGCGAGCCCTCCCCCAAAATATGGAGCCAGGGATAAAGTACAATAAGCTGTACAGCTCAGCTGCAGTGCTCAGGAGGGAACTCCTCCAGTCCCTGGTATCCATTGAAAAAACAAAAAACTGTCATCTTGGTCAGGGACTTCGGGACTCTGATTATGACACGCCTCTAACGTTCCTTGCACAAATGTCGATTTGAGAGGCTGAAGAAAACGTTCTTCCGTACATCCTATGGATTGATGAATCCAAGTTCACCTCCAATGGCATACTAAACCGTAGGAATTTTCGAACGAGGGCTGAGGAAAATCTGAGATTTTCATTCTCTTTTTCACAGTATCAACGTTTGTTGTGGGCTTCTCGGAAATAAATAAAATGGGCCCCTATTTCTAAGGAAATAATTTAAATGGTGCTTAATTCCTCCATTGTTTGAGCAAGGATGTTTTACCAACACTATTAGATGATATTCCTCTGCAACAACGACAAAGAATGATTCTCCATCTTGATGGATGCCCCGCACACAATTCTTTGTATCACCACTTCCGGGATAGGTGGGTATGACCTCAGGGCCCGATATGTTGACCTCCTCGGTCGCCCGATTTAATTCCACTTGACTATTTTCTGGGTGTTTAAAAAAAGTGTCTACGCCAATCATAACCCAGCAACCTCAGTTGAAGAACGGCGGCAAAGGATAGAAAATACTTATCAATCCATCTCACAATTCTATCGCTCTGAGCACCGGTGAAGAGTGGTTAAAAAGAACAAATATTTGCATCTTTACGCAAGGCAGGCAGTTCGAACATAAAATGGGATTAATAAATAGCAAACCAAATGACTGTTGTTTTTTTTCTTAAAACGTTTTGCCATAACTTTTTTTGACCAATTTATGATCCGATTGCATCATTGTTTTCAGTCAAAAATGCCTTGAAAATGATGTGTCAGGATGTATATGGTCGTATTTGAAATTTTGAAGTTGAACTGGAACAGAGGTACCCTGTATAGTATTTCTCAAAAAAAGGTAAACATTTGACGGTAGACTAAAAAATATCAAACACTTTTTTTATTTGTTTTTATAGTGTTACTGGTTTAAGAGCAATTTAGCTGGGCCATCTAAAATGGACACCCTGTATATGTGGATCACTGTTTAGAAAAATTGTATATATGTGATTGCATCCTTTGATTTTTAACTGAAAAAGTACATATAAAATAACCATCAAAAACCAGGTCAGGCAGAAAAATATAAATTAGAAATGAAAAAATAAAACTACATTAAGTCTAAACTAGTTAAAGATCTTAAGCTACAGGCGTTCAATAACCAGCTTTACATTATTGTTTATCTACAGAATATAGAATGTAATTACTCAGAAGTGTTTCACTAATTCGATTTAGAAGTGGCGCGATTTCACGGCTAACTAATGGTTCCATGTAAATGCCAATATAAACGGCTGTATTGTTTCCGAAGGCAACAAAATAACTATGTCGTTGATCTTTATTGTTATTACACCGCCGTGAGATAACACACCGTATAAACTTACTTTGCTTTCTCTCATTAAGATAAGGGGAAAAGTTTCCATTCATACATGTATTACCGGTTTATTAAGTTTTTACAATTTATTTTATTTATTGCTATCTGCACAAAATAAATATACATTGAACAAATTGTATAGTTATATGCAAATCTAGAAAGAGAGAAAACAGCCAATACTGGAACTATCTTTTATTTAACTGGGGGAGTTAAAATAGGAGATCACGAGGCCCTCGTCGTTTTAAACGGCATGGAAAATTATAAGGGTGCGCCTTTGAGGAAAGAGTTTGGACTAGTGGGTTTGGGTGGACGGAGAGTAGAGTGGAAATTGAGGAAGCGTGGCCGGATCAGGTCTTTCACGAATGGGATTGTAAGGTCTTTATGAACGATTTGATTGATCACGTACAAGGGAGCAATGAGGATACGGCGGAGGGAGAACTTTAGACTGAAAGGATTGAATTCGTTGGATGTTTAAGAATTTGGCCGAATAGGTCCGATGGGTGTTTTGTAAGCGGTTAGTTTGTTATGTATGCTTAGATTTGATTTTGGTCCCAGTCTGAGGAGTTATATATTTTGTTAAGTTTTGTCTTTTTATCTTGTAATAGGGTGCCATGAAAGCCTACTGCATAAGTAAAGCCCAAAGTACCGGACTTGTTTAGGTGGTTTTATGAGCACTGGTGAACAGGTTTGACTTTTCAACTTAAACTTGACTTGTTTTTTTCTCGTTCAACTTGATCCGCCATTGAATGCACCAGTCAGTAATGAGGTTCAGCTGTTGTTGGATTGCTTCTGTGGCTAGATAACATTGGAGTGTGTAGTGAGGATTGCTGTGTCGTCCGCGTAGGTTTGAGTTGTATGTTTCGATCTGCAGGTATGTCAGCATATCTCAGGTGGTGAGGGACCTAAGTTTATTAAGTTAGATTTTTAAAATAAATTAAAATTTAGACGGCAAAGATTTGAAATTAATAATTCTGGTATGATGATTCTTCGTTTAATACAAAAATATTATCGTAAATCGCTGACCTTAAAACTCCCAGATGTGCTTGGCCATGTGCAACGGTTATTTTCTTTATCAGCGAACCGACTAACAAGAACGAACTTTTAATAGTTTAAATGAGGACTATTGCACGGCATTTACAGTTTCGGAGTTTTTTTTACAGTTTACGGAGTTCTTCATAACATATACATTGGTCGTAATTTGTTCAAGTAAAGTGACGTTAAGTATCGTACAAACTTAATTGCCTAAGTCGTAAACTTAGCCTTATATTAGGGCAAGTATAAACCAATTAGTGCATAAATCGTGTAAGAATAAGGTAAAAATAAATATGAATGATAAAGACTACATTGTATCTTCAGGTATAATGTACCACATTTAGTAGAAGCAATTTTATTTATTGTAGTAATTATTCTGAAAATTTGAAAATTCTTATAGTACAAAGTTGTACTTGACATGTTCTGTAAAATTAGAAAAAGTAAATGACATCACAATAAACTTATTGAAAGCCTAATTGAAAAGGGGAAGAGAGGCTTCGGTGGCCTATAGGCGTTGACACTAATACCCCCCCCCCCGGAAGTACTCAACCATAGGTATTTCGGGTGTATGGAAATAAAGAAGGGTCAAATCCATAGTAGATCTGTTAGGTCGAAGTGGAAGAAATGGCGATTGACCGTGACCTCAGAAATAAAGTTGCTTGAATCTCCGGACGGTATGGCCATGCCTACGATTTTAATTATTATTTAATTATTTCATATGAGTACTTGTAACAAAGATTTTTTTATCACTATGGTTCTATAATTTGAACAAGTATAACGTTATTAAAGGACAATGACTCAATTATCATTTAATTTATCTGGATTAATAATATATTAATCAAACTAGGTTTATGTTTAGGATTTTCTTTAGGAGGAGAACATACAGAATTCTAGTATACAAGTTCTTTAACAAATTAATACATCATCATGGGTGATAATTATGTCAAAATTTGTAAATTTCTCAACACTAAAGAATACGTGAAAAAGAAAACGTACGGCTATTGAAGCATGTGCTATCGTGCATACCGCCTTTTTATTTAAACATGAACCTCCTCCGAATCAGGGCCCAGGTTTGAAAGGGTGTATTGAATACATCATGAGGTTGTTCTTTTCTTAAACTTCCCTTTGCTTAAGATGAAAGAAATGGCGAAGTTCCGATGTCCAAACAATATTTAAAGAAGGGTGTTTACAGTTAAAGCTCTTTAGATTAATTGGTACAGTAAATACTTTTTCGGCAGTTAACCGATGAACATTGGCAATTGTTTCTGGATGGCTGACCCTAGGGTCTGTGGTCGGAACGTGATTAAGTAGCGTGAAACCAGGAAACGGTAAATAATCGGGGAAACCGAGCATCTCGGGAAAGAAGAAAAAACGAAACACTAACCGTGTATTTCCTGGTGCGGGTGGTACGGTGCTGAGAATGCGCTACTGGAACAGGGATGCCTCCGCATGAGGGCGTTGCTGTTGTTTCCCGGTGGCTGCATGCTGGACAAAGCACCGAGTGGTGTATACGACTTGCAACTACCACCGGGGGAACCAACGGCCTCGACACTGCTGCCACTTTGCTGAAAAAAAGAATAAAAATAACTGTACAAAGATTTGATCAATTTCCATGTGGTTTTTATTGTCAAACGCTACATTTAGAAGACCATAAGTTTTTATTTATAAACATTAATGATAACATTAATGATTCGAAGTGTGTCCAGTGGCAAACGAGCCACTTTTTATGACACAATTTAAGCATGCAAACGGATGAGCACGTTTTGTCAGATGTGATCACAATTATTTCCTGATTTCGTGAGTTTAAAATGGTATTAAGATTGAATGGATTTTGATTAATTTGGAATTTAATTTTTTTTTCTTTCATTTTGTTTCTTTCATTATCTGTTTATAATTATGTTAAATCATCTTAATATGCGTATAACGTTTCTACAGACTGACAATGTTCACATAGTGGTGACGCTTTCATAAAAAAAGTTCATGTATGCAGGGCCAGTTCTCAGCCGGCTAAATGAATGGCAAAAATTCTTGCTCACGCCTAGCCTTTAAAACCATGGTGTAGTACATACCTAGGTCCCTATCAAATCCAGATAATATTAACGCCTATCACTCTCTGCTAAATTATAAGTTCTGATAACTTCGTTTAAAGGCAGCTTTATGCATGTATTCCATAGAACACTGCGAATTAATTTTCCGAGTGTTTCTACTCATAGTCACAAATCGCTATTTTTGTGGTGTGAAAGACAATAATCCAGGGCCTGAAGTTTGGGTTTCATTTTAATACTGTGGCTATTACTCGGATCCCACACCGTACAACCAACTTCACCATTAATTTTAGATACATCGGTTTAAAGACAATGAGCTATCCGCCACGTTGTCATTATAGATTCGTGGGTAAAATTATTTACAATACTGGCGTCCGTATCCTTGTACTCTTGAAAAAATGGGCCTTTACCTATAGAAATAGCGTGTCATAGTTCCATTTGAATACATCCAATTTGGACCTAAAATTTTTTAGCTTTAACGGTTGATGGGTATTTAAAAAGGTACAAACGGATGGGGGAGAGGACAAAGTTCCAGTATTCTGTGTTAATTTAAACCAACCAATTTTTTTAACAATGCCACTTCTTGGCATAAAGGAATGCAGCTTTTACAATAATAGAAATTTTCTGCCACTACTTTCCTCCTAATATTCAATGGGCATTCATTACATTCTGCTAGCATGTTATTTTTGAGTTTGCATTTGAGTATTTAACCAATTAATTTTTTGAATAGTGGAACTTCTTGGCATAAAGGAATGCTTTTATTAGAAATTCGTCTGCCAGTATTTGCCTCCTAATATTCAATGGGCATTCGTTATTTCGTTCTACTAGCACGTCTACAGTTGGTGTCGTTCTTAAATATCCAGTGCACTTCCTGATACAACAATTCTGTATTACAATCAGCTTTTGCAGAGACGTTTTGAAAGTCTATAAAATATTGATCCATAATCTAAAACAAGCCTAATGATTGTTCGATAAAATAACAAGGAAATAGTCTGGTCCGCACCATACCGACTTTCGGCACATTTGGGTATTTTTCTTGTTTTATTGATTACCTTCTCTACAGGGGGTCCTTTTTAGATGGCCTGGCTGAATTTCTCTTTAAGCATTGAGGCTATCAAACAAAGAAAAATATATAAACGTTTTGTGGTTTACTCTGGGGCGATCAGGAAATTTCAAACCTTGTGACATAACTATGTCATTTTTGACCAATTTAAAATCAAATTTTGCCATTGTTTCCAGAGTAAAAAATCCTTTGAAATGATGTGTCCGGATGTATAGGGCCGTATTTGAAATTTTGAAGTTGAACTGGGCCTGCGGTACCCTGTTTAATTTTTCTCCAAAAAAAAGGTAAACATTTGAAACTAGACTAAAAAATATTAACACATTAACAGTATTTTTTTTATAGCTTCATTGGCTCAAGAGAAATTCAACCGGTCATCTAAAAGGACACCCTTGTATATGCTTTTTAAATTTTTTTTGGGTCGAAGATTAAGCCTAGAAATTTTACTGAATCTACATGACCTATATTCTAACTTCCAAAAGCGATTATACAAATAATAATTATTCAGAAATCGTGAGATGCGGTCTGGTGTGATGTAGGTTTCAGAAAAACATTTTCTTTATCGTGCCAACGTTTCGATCTTTATTTAAATCTTCTTCAGAGCCTGCCAGGGGCACTCTCAACACGACACAAAGGATGGCACACTTACGCAGAAAACAAACACTGTGAGTGACTAGAAATACTTTGATTGAATATAAAAAATATATTTCAAAGGGAAAAACAAGGAATAGAAGAATAGAAGTTACGTATTTTAATTATTCAACGTGCCAATACTGAAATCGAAAGGCAAAAAAATATATTCACCATACTACTTCACAATAAACGGGCTATATAAAAATAAATTGTTCTTCGTATTAACAAAACGATTCAGTCATTATGTAGTACATGCAGTCTGCTTATTGAGTGAGTAAACCGAAAGCTTGAACCTAAATCACATTCAAAGAACATTTATCTCCTTTATCTTCTCCATTAATCCCTCTTTTACGGCCCCAGCAGAAATCCCAATGAAACGCGATATGCTGGCTTCACGATCCACTTCTTCTGGTGATTTAGTTTTTATTGTACATACATACTTGCAGAGTACAGGGGTTGGAACGAATATTGAAAAGATTACAGCGTTTAACAACCTTTAGCATGATATTTTCGTCATGGAACGAACAACTGAAAAATTGTGACTATTAAATATAAATGATCCTTAAATTATCAATTGACATAAATAGCTCACACAATTCTGCCGCCCATCTGCATTAACCATTTGTTGATAAAAACACCAATTTTCTACAGGAATAGCGAGAACCTGTAAACCTATAAGGGGGCGTCATGAAAAGTTTCTGAAACGTGGGTCAATATGATAGGATAATCGTTTGTGAAACTTCTTGTAGCTATTTATGGTCCTTAATACATAAAAAGGAGCGTAGACTATGTTTCAAAAGACATAATTGTAAGGATTTGATACGTTTGAGATTGCAACGTTTGGATGAACCCCAAAGTTGTATACCCGATTATTTTCTTGCGTAATTTAAAGCCATGTAAGTCGTCTGTCTTTGTACAACCCAAAGTATCGGGCAATATTATCTGGGGAGAGATGATTTTTACTGATTTATTGTCATTTTCCACCGCTTGAACAACTGCTCAAGGGTTGTGACATGGGTTTAATGATTTCTAGCTGAGACGACATCTTTATTAGAGCAAAGATATAGAGATGCAGATGGTGAGGAGCCACTGATGAATTTAAAGTGTCTGGTTAAATAGAATTTTAGGATAAGATGGTAGAAAAAATGGAGGACTTTCTTATACTTCAAGATCCAAGGCTTGCTTCAGTTCTAGGAATATCTGGAGAAGATTTTCACTTAAGCGTAGTAGCAATAATGTCTACAACGTGTTAGTACAGTATTAAAAACACACCTTCATCATTTCTACATAATCGCTGTGTTCTGAAGATTTCTGCTCATTTTAACTTGAATTCTATTTATCTGACCGCTGCTTCGGAGTGAGGTGCGGTAAGGTATACTCAGATATCATACCAATAGTTGCCGGTGTCTCTCTCTCTTTGTCCCATCCTCTACACCATTTAAAATGACACTTTTCCCAATTCCGAACACCGTCATTACCAGCTATGGGGATGGTTCTACAATTCTGTCCTCAAAACCCGAATCCTATCCAAGCAACCCCCAGCATCGAACTTATAAAACTGGTGCAAAAAGTGGAGTATAAAAGAAAAAATGTATATGCGTACTTCTACACTGAACAAAAACACCCATGCCCTCCACTATTTATCAACACCAAGAAGCTACCGGCTTCCTCTCAGATCATGCACTTAGGTCTATACCTAGACCGCAGATTTACGTCGAATCCCCACTAAAGCCTTAAGACACAGCAGTTTAACAGAAGATTTGGACAATGACGGAGAATTTTAAAACTGAAATGTATTTAGACCGTCAAAACAAAACTCTCTAGAACACATTACTACGACCAATTTAAACTTATCTAATTCTTCCAATCTAAGTTCCTCAGACAAATTGTCAATGCTCCTTACGTCATTAACCTCACCTGTCTGCCCAAGCCTCACTCCCGATGATATCAGTGTGGACACTGTGAGAAAAAACTATTAGATATAAATTTGTAAAATGAATCAAGAAAGTTTTCTCTGACTTATCCTGGCAGCAGTAATATCTTATGTCCGAATATCATATCCGCAGAATATTTTCCCATCATTCTATGTATAAATGTATCTGAATTAATCGCTAAAAATAATAAAAAATCTGATTTTTTAAAATTGACGAAGGAAATTAAATGAAATTGATGTAAAGGCTGAATCGTGCCTGACAACAGACCGACAACAAGAATAAGCGGAGATTATCATCAAATTCGATTAAATTGCTGTCAACAGTTTATCTGCTAGGGGGACCCTACCGTTGTATTACAGTTTCATTTGTTTGATGAAAAAAAGGCTTTTTCATTTATAAACGTTTTACTATCAATTTTGAAAACTGTAAACAACGTGTTAAGACGATTAAACGTTATTTTATCGTTAAATTAGAAATACGTGTTAAACTGTATACTTTTTGTGAGACAAGTGTGATTTCAACCTAATAGCCCACTCGACAATAGCTCGGCTGGGGTCTGATAAATAAATAANTATAAGCCGGTGCTTTTGAAAAAATCCCATTTGTAAGTATGTCGGGTTCGAATGCAGGGACCTTTACCTTACAGTGATGAGCGCCGTGTCAACGCCAAAACAGTTGCGGCCACCGATGCCCCTGATAAATATTGTGCGACGATTTTAAGATTACACTTAGGTTTCCTTAACATGCGTTGGTCAATGTTTAATGCGACATTTATTGAAGAATAAGAGAGAAAGAATTAAGTTAGATCGAGCAAGGATGGATGAAAAAGGCAAAATAAAGTGAAATTTCATCAAACTAAACTACTTTATTTTCATCAAGGAACTTTTAAACAA